CAAATGTATTTTTATATATGAATAGTAGTGCGGGCCAATTTTTTTGACTAAGCGCGTATAGCAAAACGTGTAACCCTTAGCAAATTTTCCGAAGAAATCATGGGTCTAAAATCAATTTTGAGTTTGCCAAATTGCGAAAATTGGTTTGGAAGAAAATGTGTAAATTTTTGAACCATGGTTTCTACGCCAAATTTGCTAAGGATTACACGTAGAATCCATCTGTGCTTTATGCGAATAGTCGGAAAAATCTCCAATACAAATTGACACGCCCTAATGAATAAATGTAATTAGTTCGTTAGTGAGATAAAATTGGCAGTCACAGAGCAAGGACACCGCGAGCTGATAGATCTTTTGTATCTGCAAGAAGTGTTCCTAGCTCACAATGCTCAAAATCCTAAGATTGCCTAATGAATGTTAAAGATATATACTGTCAATCTAAGGCGAGACACCCTCATAGCAAGCCATTTGACGTATCATCATCCTCAAAACCGAGCCGACTTATCTGACTCTGTGGCTTCGCCAGGTCAATGCATTTGATAGCGTAGACAGCTTTGAACGGTTAGAAAACCATCAACAAATTATTTTCAACACATTTCTAATCATTTTAATTTTCGCGATGACTTAAGCGATCCGCCATACGTTGAGGCTGTGAGGATGTGAGAAATTCAGCAACTACGCTCATGAGTCCAACCTTGGTAGGTTTGTTTTTTTTTTGTTTGTACGAACTAACACAAACAAAAGTCGCATACACAATACTTGCACAGAATATTATCCGCCGTGTCATCCTTTTCAAGGCACAAAGGGTAAACGGGGTTGTCGTGTATGCCAATCACAGTAACATTTGTACCACGAAAAGTGATCAGTTGAATGAAGTCTCATTTGCTCAATAAAAGTAAGTATCCAGTTAGACCTTATCAGATTGTCGAACAAAAAAGGAGATGTTAACTTAACTTAAGACTAAATTTGTATACTGATTAAATCTGAGAATTGAGTCCAACATTTAAGAATAGTTCTGATTTAAAAATTTGTATAAGTACAGACATATTTTTAGGCCAAATATAGTAGATTCTTGATCACGTAAAAAACTATGTATGTACTTATATCCGACCTTTATCGTTTATGTATTTAAGTTATTCTCATAAAATACAAATATGTATGTTCTACTAATTACGTTCACACGTTTTTTAGCATTGTATAGGTAATCACCGAAAATATTTCTAAATATAACTGCGGATTTAACTTCACAATAGTTAACTTGGCACGTGTGTGCCACCTTGTCTTGTGCACATGAATTGGCTGCCATCTGGAAACACGCAAAGTTTAATGGGGATTTATCATGAGACCATACCATCACACATGCATACATACATATGTACATAAGTAAATACTGTCTGCTAGTCATAGCCAGCTTTGAAACTCTCCTCTCTGAAAAACATGAAGAAAATACTAACTCTTATACATTCACTATACATGCATATACAAAAGTACATAAGTATGTATGTGCATTTTAGTTAACGGAAAAGTATTTTCAGAGAGTTTTTCTCATACAAAATCAGTGCAAACACGGGGCTATTACCACACATTTTTAATAGACTATATGTACGCATCCTGTTTATTTCAAACACATGAATGTATGAACATTAGGGCGTGTCAATTTGTTCTCAAAACTATAACCGAAAAAAGTCCATGGAAACATAGCTCTAAAATAGATTTCAATCCTCCGTATTTTTAATTTTAGTTATTAATCCCTACCCAAATTTCTTTTTTTATCGTCTTTGGTTAAATTTTTTGGAACTATAAATTAATAGTTAATGTTTATTTTACTCAATCCCTCCGCTAGAGAGCATGACAAAGTTTAATCAATTTGGTTATTTTTAATGGAAAAACATCAATGTTCCCTACCTATCCCTAAAAAATTTTAGCAATTATTTTACTTTAAGTTATTAGAAAGACAAAAAAGTACTTAGTAATAAAAACATAATAAAAAAAAAACTTGATCAGTAGAATGCTCCAGAAAGAATTCTAAATCATACAATGCAGTGCTTTATACATGGATAAATCACTACAATTTTATTAATCGAAGGAAACGAAATACAAAATCAAGAAAAATCAATTAAGAATTTGCTTTTATTTAATATTTCAAATAAGTATTAAGTAGTGCGGTGTTATGCTTTTAGTTTAAATTTAAGTGTTTCGTAGATATTTTTTTTTTTTAAATAATAGCTTCCAAGTTTCCGATGTATGGATGGATAGGCGCATATACTAGACATATATTAGGGCGGGTCAATTTATATGGGAGATATTTTCGACTATGCGCGTATAGCACAGAAGCAAATTTGCCGAAGAAACCATGGGTCTAGCTTAAATCATATTGCTTCGAATAGATTCGGTACGTTTGAGTTACGTCTAAACTATTGTATTTTCTATAGACAAACTAAAAATCTGTAACAAGTTGCTGCTTGCAGGGTAGCAGAAGTAGAATTAATACGATTACTATAAACAAAAACTTTTCAAAAGTTTTAAATGAAGAGCAATCTTGGGTAATAAAATATTTAGTTTCACTGAAACACTCTTCTGTAAACTTCCATATCTGAAATAAGGGGATATATGTGTATATATGGGGTATTCTAGCCCAATTCCGAGTTCATTCCTAATTTTTTATGTCAGGGAGGCCTGTCTCAATTAGTACTATAATTGAGAGAGCCGTTTTTTTTTGAATAAAACGTTCCTTTTAAATGCCCATAACTTAGCGAAAAATAGCCCAATTTAATTTTAGGAATGTAAAACAAAAAACCCTATTTCTATATCGATGGCTGAGTGGAAGATCGACCTATCTCGGCAGCCAATTCGAAAACGCTCTATCTCAAAAAGCTTTTCAAGAACGCCCTACTTCAGAATTTAATTGAAAAACACCCTATCTCAAAATTCGGTTCAAAAACGCCCTATCTCACTTCAAAATGTATTGAAAATATGCTGATAAAGGGCGTTTTTGAATCGACAGCTGAGATATGGCATTTTTGAAACGAGTTCTGAAATAGGGCGTTCTTGAAAAGTTTTTTGAGATAGAGCGTTTTCGAACTGGCTGCCGAGATAGGTCGATCTTCCACTCAGCCATCGATATAATGTCTATAAAACTTTTTCATTTGTGTATAAAATGTAGATTTCCAAAAAAACGTATTGATCGATTTTTTAAAATATTTTTCTAAATTTTTAAATTAATGAAAAACTCAATGCACAAAATAGATCTCATTGTTAACTCATTATTGGATTAGGATTAAAGGTTGTGGAATGAGTGAAAGTTTTTCAGAAAAATTTTCGAGAAAATCGATCTGTACGTGTGCTTTGGAACTCCAGATTTTACTTATATTAAAAATTTGAAAATTTTTAGAAATAAGGTTTTGATTGGGCTTTTTTCGATATTGTATTCCAAGAGTTTTTTAAATGAAAAAAATAAAAAATAAAATGTTCCCAATCGGCCCATTCTCTGTTTTGAAATTTTTTCAAATTTTTTTAACTTTTTCATCGACTGTTATAGTAAACGGGCCGCTCCTTCCAATGCAACAAACTGCAGCTTTAGTTTTTTCACAATTTCACTTCAAAGTTAGGTACTTTCACGAAAAAAGTACAAAAAAATCAAATCTGACAAACTATTCTGAAATTAATCAAATTCGCTTGAAACTCGTTACTTGGGGTTTTTCGGAGTCGCTGATTACGAATCCGATGTTAGTTTTTCAAAATTCAAAATGGCGGATCCACATGAATCCGAACAAATTTTAAATTTTTTCCACTGTATTCATTAAAACGTTCAGAAGCATCAAAATCAACTTGGTAAACTTCAAAGCAGTTTTTCTTGAAATCTTTTTTTCTGAGCGTAGGTCCTTTTTAACTTTACGTGTCACATATTTCAATGCTTAAAACGTTCTTCAGGCAAACCTTAAAGTACTTATTTACGTATGTTTATTTCCACTACAAGAAAAGAATTCGTATGCATGGCTGAAGTTTAATTTCCCAAAAGTAATCTTAGGTAACATTAGGTCTGTTTTGAAATAATCCATCATCTCCCAGCTGATATCAATCAAAAGAGAAACGAGCATACTGACGCTGGTCACCAGAAACTCAGGCAACTACGAGTATAAATAGTTAGCATTTATGCCCTGCAGTGGAAATACTAGTACAGAACTAGTGAATTCACCAGTTTTCGTGAGTCGAATACCGGTACCTCGCAAATCTACCAGCCATGCTTTCTACTGTCGCATTTAACATGGAGTTGTCCTAGGAGGTGACAATTGACTCCCGCTGCGTAACTTTGCCCTAGTACTAGTAGTAGTAACATGTAGTCTTCAACCGAACCACGTTTTGTATCTCGCTGCGTAACCTGGTACTAGTACACAAACTAGTGTGCTAGGGATTATAATTGACTCCTGCTTAGTAACTTTACCCTAGTATTAGTAGTGGTAACTTGTAACCAGTAAAAGGACCACCATCCTGGTTCCAGTACCGAAACTAGTGTGCTAGGGATGATAATTGACTCCCGCTTATTAACTTTTCCCTAGTATTGGTAGTAGTAACACATAACCAGTAAAAGAACCATCATGCTGGTACCAGTGCCAGCATTTATTGTACCAGGTAAAAAAATGAATTGCTTTTTCCTTGTGTTTATTAAATAAAATTAATAAAAAGTCGATATTTCTACAATATATTAATTTACAGGAGAAGCAAAAACCATTGTATTCAAACCAGAACATTTTAAAAATGAACGGAAAATGATTACAGTGGGTGTCAGTGGAAATCCTACAGTAATTTTTTTAAATTTCATTGATTTTTTTTTTAATATAGTTCCTAGTACAACAAAATCCATATAACTCAAAAATTTCAAACTTCGTGACAAATTTACAAAAATTCGTCAAATATTCATTGAAATTTCAAACTTTTTATTAAGAATTTCTTAAAAAATTTTGGGGTATGCAGTTTTAGTTTGAAAACATGCAAGTTTTAAGTTCCTACAAATTCTCGTTAATTTTTATAATTTCGTTTTGCTGACGATGTTGCTCATTTTTTTTAATATGAAATACATGCGTTATTATTCAAATTGTAACTTTGTTACAGAGTTTGAAACTTTGAGTAACATGGATTTTTGATTTCCTTTCAAATGCGAACCGCTGATAACAATATTTTTATAATCGAAATTTTAAATTAACTTGGATATTAAATTATGTGCCGGGAATTCAAAATGCACTATAAAAAAATCAGTTAATGAAGTTGTAAAAAAGTATTACAAACACTAATCGGTCTTCGCTAATGATAAGCACTTGAAGTACCTTTGTGATATTAAAATATTACATTACATATTTTACATATTTTTGATTTCCTTTCAAACGCGAACCGCTGATAACAATATTTTTATAATCGAAATATTAAATTAACTTGGATATTAAATTATGTGCCGGGAATTCAAAATGCACTATCAAAACAAAAACCCAATAAAACTGCATAAAAATATTAGAAACACTAATCGCTCTTGGCTGTTGCTAAGGACTTGAAGTATCTTTTTTTTTTGATTTTGAATGGCGTGACGCAGCTGATCTTCCACACTTTTTCCTGCTGGGGCCACAATAGATGCTACATAGAATAAAGAGTCGTTATGAATTATACAAAATGGTGCTTATTGATTACTAACCCTTCAGAGCAGCATAAAAATTTGAGACGTCTTTAAGGCTCTTCTTGCCATGTATTCCATATAAGTTGTAGTCTGCAGTAATGGCTGTGCTCAAAATATTTTTAAGGTTTTTTACTACTCCACCATTTTGAAGGAGGCTTTTCATAGCTACAACCTGTTGGATTGGAAAATATTGTACACATTTATATCTTCGGTCAAATTTTATTAACAATTATATCTCATATAATCCCAAACTCGAGAAAAAAGAATAATACGCACAGTGAGACAGTTGAAATTGAACAGTGGTATTTTTTCGATATTCACAATATGTATTTATCATTAAATTGGTCTCGTGATTTTTTTTTATAAAAATATAGAATTTTTAGCCTCTTCAAACTTGTACTGTTTTATACTAAAGTTAAATGGATTCAGAGCTGTTAAATTAATTAGTAAATCATTATTTTTTCGCATTTTTTAATTTTAATGATTACTTTAATTTTCTTGTAGCAATTAATAATTAATTATAATTAAAAATAATCAAAAATAATCATGACTAATTGCCATTAATTTTTTGATTATTTTTAAATATTTGATTGTTTTTAATTATTTGATTATTTTTAATTATTTTTCCAAATAGATAAAGCTGTGTTTGGTAGGCAAATCTTTATAAGTTAGTATTAAATAACTAAGACCAAATTCACTGTACGAGTAAATACTTGTACTGTAGTTTACAAGTAAGAAATGAATTCTTATAAACATTGTCAACTGTCTTTGCTATTCACTAATATCAAGGCGAATTCATATAAGGTGGTAGCGGTAGTACGAAAACAAAAACTACACTAACACATAAGAAGTTTTTACATATGTGTACCGAGGCGAATTAAAGCAGCTGTTCTATCAACACTGTCTTATATGAATTTGCCTTGATTAATACTTTCAGAAAGAAGAAGAAGAGGACACATAGGAACAGATCTTACAAATAGACATAGGTATGCATATTGACCGCGTTTTTGTTATTCTCCTTGTGCATTTATCTTACATTACTGTATTGATTCTCATCATATGTACATTAACTGCGTTGCAATGTATTATTCACACGTTGAAATAAATAATAAAATTGAAAACAAAAACCAAAAATAATTGAAAATAATTATATCTGTGTTCGTATGGAAAAGTAGCTTATGTCGAAAGGCTGGCTTTAGTATAATGCGGCATTCCCTTTATTCTTTAAACGGCAAAGAATTTTTTGATGAAACTTGGTAAGAATATTGACTTGCTAGTATCGGAACTATTTCTTGCACGTTTATTTGCCAAAAGTTGTTCAACGGTTCAGCGCCAGTGAGTTATTCGCAATCGTATGCTGCGAATGCCGATTTATACTAAAGCCAGCCTTTAGACATAAGCTACTTTTCCATACGAACACAGATATTAATCATGTAATTAAAAAAATTCAAATTTAATTGAAAATAATCAAAAATAATAAAATCTGTGGTCATAAGCAATAACCGCCTAAGTCGACTTAGGAATGAATTGAGTTATATATACTATCGTTTTCTGCAACTACTATTCCATATGTATGTGAAACTCCCATCTCGTTAGCTAGGCTTTTTAAAAGGTTATAGACGAAAATATTTTGGTTTCCCCATAAGGTTAACATTACAATCCAAATCGTTAAAGCGTTTTTTCTCGAATCCAGGTTTTTCGACTTAGACGATTATTGCTTATGACCACAGAAATAATCATGTTATTAAAATTAGCTAATTAATTAATTAATTTTCTTTTTTGAAAGTAATTAATTATTAATAATTAAAAATGTGCAAATAATAGTATTTAATCATTAAACGGTCAATTTTGCATAATACAACTCCATTTAATTGTTATTAAAATTATAACGAATACGTATATAGGCAAGCTTATTTTCCGAAGTAATTTCGTCGTTAATTTTTAAAAGCTGCTCCTCGCTAGTTATTGGGAATTTATCAGCAACTGTTTGATCGTTAATATGTTGGCGCGTCATGTTTTTTAATAAAACCGTTTGTTGCGCCAGAACCTCCAAAACATATTTTAGTTGATCTAAAAGATACGCAAAAATATATTTTATATTTACTGATCTATGCAAATTATGAAAAACAATTATAAATATAATCATACCCTGCAATACTTTAAGTTCAGTTTCGAGGTTATCAATTTTGGGTTCCAAACTCCCGCAAGCAAATCGCACGCCTGTGGAGTTAGAAATACTTTAAATTATTTTTAAAATACGATACAGTGATGGTCACTTAATAAGATACAATAAAAAATACTGGATTTGTTCAAACCATTCCACATCTACTTACCTTGAAAATCGGTATTACTTTTATATATACTTTTCTTTTTGGATGGATCGCTCATCTTGGATTTGTACATGAGTATATTGTAAAATTATGTGTACTCTGACCAGATGGATATACTTCATTAATAAGTATGTATGTGTGTTTGTATTTATTATTTTTATATATTTTTTTAAATCATGTTGTTAATTAGTTAAATCATAAAAAAGTTATTAAGGTAAGTGTTTATTTATAAGCATGTGTTTAATTTGCAATTAGTGGCAGCTATGCAGCATTGGCATAATTAGAAGTTGTTCACCATGTATGATTCCAATGGCTTTGCTTCTCAAATGTTCAAAAGGAAATGTTTCGTCTTCTCCTAAGTTCTCTGTATCAGTTAAATATATACCTAAAGTAATTGAATTTATTGGTTCAACGTAAAAGCTACTAAGTTTCAAAAATCTACGCCCAAGAATGCCGCACCCTTCGATAACTGAAACTATGTACACAGGGTTGTAATCTTTAACATAACATATGTTATAATTTTTCTTGTGGCTTAAAATGTAGCCATGGAAAATGTAGGACGGAAACCGGCCTATAACATGAAATCCATCTGCTGGGTATGCTACATCTAAACTATCTTGCTCCACTTTGTTATAAATTTGTTTTAGAATTTGCCTTGGCTTCTTAACACTTTTTTTGAGAGTTTGCAGATAGTTCTCAAATGCATATGCCGAATTCTCCGTAGGATTTCCGACATACTCTATCGTTTGCTTTAAATGCAACAAATTATGAACATTGTACGATAAGCTGTTTTCACCAAAAATTATGGCAAAATTTTTCACAAATAAGTTGAGCATTGACTGTGCATTGTCTAGATTTGAAAGGACCTGCTTTGGACTACACATTAGTCTGTATGCGCAATGAAGCAATAAAAAACAATAATACACATCCTCGTGCACATTGTTTTTTAACACGCTGACGCCTGTATACAAAGCAAACAGTCGAAACTCTGTAGCCTTCCAATAATTAATGTCATCCAAACTTCTGGGCTTGCGTATAAACTCCTTAGGAATATTACCTCGTAATGGCAATAACCGGTGGGAAATATTTTTCAACTGATGCGAATTCACTTTGAATTTTATCTTTTTGTTAACTAGGCGAACTAAAAATTTCCTAGTAACGTCCAAGTCAATGAGGTGCATGCAATCGAGAGGGATTTGTTTGATCACTAAAACATTAATTTGTTCGAATGGAGATTTCCGGGTTCGGATGTTTTCTTTGTAAGAAATCATTATTCGAGATAAGTGTACCTGATTCTGAGCTATAAGTAAGCACTCTGTCTATTTTTCTACCTACCTGTGTACACTTTGAGCACCCGTGACTAGAAGTATGGCCGGGGGTGCCACTTATGAATGCTCGCGCCGGAGCATCGCAAACTATAGCCCTTACGGCAATTTCAATGAAGGTTTTTTTACATGGAAATCCTGACTCCAGCAGTGAACCCAGTTCAGATACAAAGGGTTTCAGAAACTCATCACAGCTACTGGGCTTACTGTAGCCGAGAAAAACACCCACGGGAAATATTGGACAATTTTTGATATTGTTAATCCTAATTAAAATTGGCCACAATTGAGCTTTAGAGCTCTTGAACAAAGGGACACCATCGACGTTAATGTCAATGGTCAATTTCTTGCAATGTTCAATTGAATGTGCTAATTTTTTTACTTGGTTAGAAATACCCATATGCAAATATGCGCCGCCTGCCAGTTTTAAAATATTCGGCTTCGTTTTAGGAGCGATATCACCAATATTTTGGACGTTTAATCCCTCTTCCCTTAATATATTTACCAAACTACGGACACATTCCCTACTGGGTCTATAATTTAAAAACCAATTCCTTAGTTTTTCGTTTATGCTAAGGGGCTCTTCCTCGACAAATCGCCAAACATTTTCAACTTCATGGGTATTCAGCATCTGCAGAGGACTTTGCGCACCGCTATCACTCGTACCTGCTCTGTCTTCCAAGCCCCCATTTCTCACTATTTTTTCAATTTCACAAAATTTTTCAAGATATTTAACTTTTTCATTTTTGATCGCACGTCTCAATTGCCTTTTGCCACTATTGCTCATAATTGCACTTTTATATTTTATTTATGTTATTTGTTTTTGATTTTTCAAACACTTTAATTTGCATGCAATTACGGATTTTTATTCAAACTCCTTTTTTAGTACAGCAATCACTTTTCCTTAAACGTTAATTTTTTAATTGATTTACCTGCACTCTTTAGCTTTCAATTACTTTAATTTTTAATAGCAAATGCTTTTATTAACAAATGTGCAGCTTATTACGTCGCGAAAACTTCTAATTTGAGCAAAACAAACGAAAATCGACGTTCGGCGCAGCAGCATTTCCCGTTAGGCTATCTGCACACTTGTCGTCCAATCATAGTTGCGTTATCGTCTCGCCCTGAAATTTTGAGCCGAGCACATGCATTTCAAAGGAGATCTGCACACTTGTCGTTATCGGCTAGTTATCGGCAAATCGTAGAAGATGCAGAAACGGATAAGTACGGCACTGTCGTTTGCTAATCGTTGTGCACGCATTGTTTGTTTACATTTTATGGGGGAAAATTAGTGAAAAAGTTAATATTTGCATTAAAATTGTATAAAAATTAGTATTTTTTTGCATAAAATCTGTGGAAATTATTAAAAAGTGGATAATTGCATTAAAATTTAATAAATATGAGCGTTTTAACTATAAAATATGACGAAATTGTATTAAGTCTCTGTGTGCATACACAAAACACATTCCAGGAAAAGAAAAGAAGAGATATTACTGGAAAATTACGTCTAGAAATGTTGCAGCACAGTCTATATTTAAAAAATTGCAGGTTTTTGTAAATATTTCGCGAAAATATCAACCAAAAAAAACAGAAAATACCAGCTCCAAGTGAATTTTTAGGCGCCAAATGAATTGAAATATCACGACCAAGTGTGCAGAAGTGTAATCGTCATGCAATCGTTGCTTCATGACGATAACTATGACTCAACTATGATTGGACGACCAATGAGCAGAAAGCCTTAGTTTCATGGCAAACTTTGATTTTCTTGTTATTGGTCTTGCTTCATGTTTCATCTTTCCATTTTATTCCCCTTTCTCCAGGGTGACCGTTTTGCATCAGTGTACTAAATTTGTACTTTTTAATGATAGTATGCTATTAGTGTATTCAAATTTATAAATTCCTTAATTAAAATAATAATAATAGTATAATACTAATATATATATATATGTATATATATAAAGTGGCGTTCAAAATAATAGCAGCAAAATTCAAATGATGCTGTTGGATACTTATCTTTATTTATTTATTGTTAATAGTTTCCATTTAAAATATGGGTCGATCTATATCAGATACCACATAAATAAAAGTTTCAAAGCTTATACAAATTTCAAAAAAAAGGAAACGAGGTTTGTAAAGGTATTTTTAATAAAATATAAAGTTAAAATATATTTCAAATGCTTAATATAGCAGAAAAAAGAGATCACGGTGGCACAGAGAAGAAACATAAGATTTCCATGAGATGTGAGAATAACAAGCACAACAAATTTGACGGCTAATAATCTGTGTAAACGGGGTGATTAAAAACGAGCTTTGATTGAGATAATATTTATATGTGAACCTACTTTTACATAAAAAGGGTTTATAAAGTATGCAAACGTACATTTAAATAATTTCAAATCGGCAAATCTTTTTTCAAAATCTACTTTTAAATCATGTGCAATATTTTTTCAAGCCATGGAAAATGATGAAATTATACTTTTTAAATCATGAATAAAAAGACCTAGTCAAAAATATTTTTATTCTCTCCTTGTAGAGACAAATTCAAGTTTTGCAAATGTGCCATCATATCGGTAAAGAACATTAACGGCTTTATTCTGTATCAGTGACAAATTCTTTTCACAGTGTTTTTTACGGAAAAATACATGAAAAAGTTAAAATTTGTCAGTAAAAAGTTGTTTGTCACCGATACAGAATTGGGCTCTAATAATCAATTTGCATATGAATATATAAAAGGATTAACATAAAAAAACAACACAATGGAAAAGAATGTCCAGCAAAGAAAGATGTATTTTAAAAAGTAAAAAGAGCCAAAATGTTCTAAGCAAAGAGAAAGTACAAAGAGCCGCACTTTGCTAAGCAAAGGGCCGCGTTTGGCTCAAAGAGCCGCGTTTGGCTCTAAGAGCCGCGTTTGCCTACCGTTGATATATATAAACCCAAAAAATTTAAAAAGTAGTAGTTATGTAGAAAAGGAGTAGTCATGTATTGCTTTATTTTGGTACTTTTCAGTCCGATATTTGCGTGGTGGTCACACTGGCTATCTCACTGCGAATATGCGAAAGAGAACATGAATAAGTATTCAAAATTATTTATTTGTATTTAAATGACAAATAACAAATTCATTTATGTAATAAGGGAGCATTATCATATTAAAACGTCCAATAATCTTTAGAAGGAGCAACATGTAGCCAATAGCTCGATTTATTACTACCTGGAGCATAATATGATATTGGAACTAGTAATGTAACTAGTACGAAAGCGACAATTGTCTCCGAACCCGCTGCAGGGTGGTTATTGAACTGTGTAGAAACATACATACATACATACATTTTTTCAGATATGTTCGTATGCATATACATACATACATACATATGCATGCAAGTACAGAAGTACATTTGTACATAAAGAGTAAAAATTAATTTGTACATATTTATCTTTACATCAGCATTTGTGCAATAAAAACAGCCACAAACATTTGCACGCCCATAAGCAACAAAAAGCTAAATACCTAAAGCAAATAACAACAGAACCACAAAAGCGTTAATGCAAACGCAAGCGACCACACAGCGGCAGAAATAACAACAACCAGAGCAGCAGCAGCAGCAAAACACTAACAGCTGTGAAGGAGGGACTCGTAATTTAAATGCAATGGCATTCTTGTTAGTTAGTGATGATGATGGTGGGTCGCTCGCCCATGGTGAGTGCGGTGTGTGTGGTGTAGGATTGGTGGCCTTTGGTGAGTAAGCGAATTCCTTGTATGCATGAGTGATTTACATACCAACATGCGAACGCATACTAGAGCATACCCTGCAGAAAAAAATTATGAATTGATAAAAAATAACCAGCTTGAATAACTCAGCGAGAGGGGAGACCAGTATGTTTGCATGTATGTATATAAAAAAAATATTTATTGGACCAAAAAGTAATGGGTACCCTGCAAAAATCCCGACTACTCCATGCATGCGTGTAAAGAGTACTCCCTAAGGACCAAGGAGAACTCCAAAATTAACCACAATTCATATTAAAAATATGGTCCAATTAACATTGCGATGTCCTAGGGCAGGACCATATACTCCATCCCTGCATTACATCAGAGTAGCACAAAACTACTCCAACATATTAAAAATGGCATTGTTGTTATATTTTTTCGTTTGTACACGCTTTTGTTCTTCACTTCTCAAATGCTTTTTCGAAATTAATAAAAACCAAGACAAAAATTAAAAATTACATGTTGCCTCTGACAGCATTCGAACCCGAACATGCTGGGAGCTAAGAACTAACAGCGAGCATCTCTACACGTTCAGCTACAGCCTTTCAAACGCTCAACTTCAATCACATTTCATTAAAACACGAGCAGTGATCGGATAACAAACAATAAGCTGGCGCAGAGACACGAGTTGGTCCGCTACAGCATGACAGAGGAACACTTTTGTAAGTACTCCAATTTACCACAAATAGACTACATGATCCAACGATTTTTGCAGGGTAGGCACTGTGGCCAATGGTAATCAACTATTACCACCTCCGCAT